GGGTGCGGGGAGCGAGGGGGAGACGGCGGCCGGGAGGGCCCGGCAGTGTAGAGGGGCCGCCTCCAGGCCTCCGCCCCAGGACAGCGGCAAAGAAAAATAAAAAGAACGAGAGAGGAGGCCCGACGGTGAAGTGAGTGCAGGGCTAGCCTCTTGCGTTTCTAGCTGTGTGGCCTTGGACGAGTCACTGAACCTCTTTGAGCCTCACAGCCTTCATTTGCATAATGGCTAATAAGCGTTTAAAGGAGGGAAAATGTGAGGAACTGTTACCGACTTACCTTTTTAAAAATTTATCTTTATTGCTGAAAGTATTACGACTTACTTTCCATTACGCACATATATGTACGATGTGAGTTAGGTGCCAGGCACTGTGGTGAATGCTGAGGACGCAGCCAGACACGCACACACCCCGCACTAAGAGGGGAGAGGAGGAATGATGCAGACAGCACTGCCTTTATACCCGGACAAGAGAGCATGCCTTAGGCCCATAGTTTGGAGACGCCCTTCTAGCCACACTCCTTCCACAGGGCGAGTCCACAGGTTCCAGGGGACAGGCCCTCCTGGTGCTTGTGCCATTCCTTCAGGACCAAGTTCTGGGAACCCCAGACTCCAGAATTCCCCACCATCACCAAATGGCTGGAGGCTATGGCCTCTTCCTCAGGTCCATTCTCTCTAGGGCAAAAGCAGGACGTCCCTGAAAGCGGCTAAGGGACGGCTGTGTTTGGGGTAGGTGGCACAGGGTTTGGACTTTCCAGCTGCTGTGTTCACAGATGCTTAGTGCAGGCCAGAGGTGGGAAGAGAAGGCAGGTGGGCTGTGGGCCAACAGTGGGGCCAGGGCCTGTGCTCCGCTCATCCCCTCAATCAAATGCATAAATCTGAGGAGTCTAGGAATTTTAAATTGATCAGGTCTTCTACATCATTAAAGATGTGTATTTGTCAGAGTAGAATGGAATTATTTTTTTAATTTATCTTTATTGTTGAAAGTATAAATGTCTTTTTCCCCCATCCATCCCCTCCAGCCTATACCCCTCCCCCCATGCCTTCACCACACTATTGTTTGTGCCCATGAGTTATGCATATATGCATTTAAATTCTTAGGTTAATCTCT